GGGTGGGATGGAGGGCAGGAATGGGGTGGTGAGGACTGCCCGAAGCACACTCTACCTTTCCCCGGGTGTGTGTGGTCCCCGGCCCAGACTCAGCGCTTCTTCCCTCGGTCACAGGGAGAAGCCTGAAGTCGCAGGCCCGGACAGGTGACGTCAGCGCCGACGGTCCCCGCCGCCGATTGGTCGCTGCCGTCATGTGATCGACGGAAGGGGCGGGGTCTGGTGTCCGCGTCACGTCACGCTACAGGCAGGTGAAAGGTCAGCGCGACCTCATCCATAAAGGGAGTCAATCCCGACGGCGACCGCTCCGTCAGAAACGATGGCGCAGCGGTTAGCGTCAGTGCGCTGGGAACCACAGGCCTCAGGCAGTGGTTTGTGGTTCGGATCCCACCGTCACCGCAATTGCTCATTCCAAGAAAAATCAGCTGCTGGTGTTTGTTACCAACAACCAGCGTTGTTTAAAAACTCTCTCTTTTCCAATCTGCCCGTCTACCAACGAGCACAGACCCACAACAGTCAGCCTTCCTGCTGTGTTCATCCAGCTCTGCACCTTGTTGTCACAGAAATATTCTAATCTTTACTCAGAGAGTAGTAAGGGCGTGGAATGCCCTGCCTGCAAAAATAGTAGACTCGCCAACTTTAAGGGCATTTAAATGGTCATTGGATAAACATATGGATGATAATGGAATAGTTTAGGTTAGATGGGCTTCCGATTGGTTTCACAGGTCGGCGCAACATCGAGGGCCGAAGGGCCTGTACTGCGCTGTAATGTTCTATGTTCTAATCCCCCTTTCCAGCACCTGGCCCAAAGCCTTGTACCTTGGGTACCACAAACTCGCATCTCCATAGTTTTAAAAAAAAATGTACATACAGGAAGGTTGTGATTCTGTTTTCATAATCTTCCCAACGAGCTGTTCTTCTTTCAGAAATCTAAATACTTGTTAAAAGTTAAAGGTTTCTGCCTCTGCCATCCTTACAAAGCAGAGGAGCAGGGCTGAATGGCTCCCGGTTTATTGCGGTGCAGGGTTCGTGCCCCTACCTCTAGGCTACCAGATCCTGGGTTCAAATCCCATCCTTTCCACATAAAATAAGTTTGACTGAAAAGAGATAACAAGGTGCAGAGCTGGATGAACACAGCAGGCCAAGCAGCATCAGAGAGCAGGAAGGCCATGTCTTTGAGGCTCTGGTCCAACTATTGCAGATGGAGCTGGGTGATGGATGTTTGAAGACTGGAATAGACACAGTGAGCAGAAAGCTTAATAACTAGAGGATACTCATTTTTGAAACACATCAAAGCAGCAGAGGTGACAAGGGGATAAAAGAGATGACACGAAGTTGTTGTCATCAGAAATGTACTGCCTGATTTGATAACAACCTGTAAGGGGAGATGAAATAACAGAGATTTTACTGGACTAGTGACCTACAGGTGCAGTCTAATGTTCTGGCAATACCGTTTCAAAACCTACCACAACAGCTGGTAGAATTTAAATTCAATTCATAAATAACTCTGGTAGCCATGACAATTACAAATAAAAATGTGGGCATTGGAAGTTATAGCAATGGTAGCTCACACAGTAATAAAGTTCAAAGAATCCCTAAACTGTGGGAACAGGCCATTTGAGTTCCCACAGAAGAACATCCCACCCAGACCCATCCCTGTAACCCTGTATTTCCTGTGGCCAATTCACCTAGCTTGCACATCTTTGGACTGTAAAAGGAATCTAAAGCAAACCCACACAGATATAGAGAGATTATGCAAACTCCACACAGAGCATCACCTGAGGGTGGATTTGAACCCAAGTCCCCTAATGCTGTGAGGCAGCAGTGCTAACCAGTGAGCCAAAGTTCATGCAATAACATGCAATTACATACAGGGCCTTGAATATTATTAAAGGATCCCAAGGTGTTTCAGAAAGGAGTGTTATTAAACAAAATTTGACACTGAACGATATATGCAGATATTAGCGCAGATACAATTTCAGGGGAGTCCTAAGAGACTAAGAGAGAGAGATGATTAGTGTTATGCTAAGGGCACTGGATGAGTAATCCAGTGATGAAGATTGATGCACTGAGGACATAGGTTCAAATCTCACCATGGCAGATGGCAAAATTTAAACTCAATTGATAAAGAACTGTGGTAGTCATGGTGAATATTGTTAAAAAGAATGCCCTTTAGGGAAGTGAGCCTTTAAGGCTAATTGGTGATGGGAAATAAATATTGGCCTTGCCAGTGACACCTACATCCATGAAAGAATGAATTCATTGGAAAAGACTCAAAACAAATTGGATAAATACTTGAAAAGGACCAATTTCAGGACTATGGGGAGAAATCTGTTAGGACAGCTGTTTCAAAGTGCCATTATAGGCCTGATGGATGGAATAGCCTCCTTCTGTATTGTCCTATTCTGTGTGTTTCTGTTTTAACTATTGATTATCGTTATCAATAACTTCATACACAAGGAGAGTGTTAAAAGAACCACAAACCAACACTTTCCATGTTCAGACAAGCCAGCATAAAGAAAACTTCCCAAAGCAATTGTTTCCGGTATCATCTACACATTCCAGTCATTAAAATACCCACTGTTGCGGAGAGCCTGAAGTGTAGCCGTGGATTCCAGGAGAGCAAACAGAAGAAAGATCAGGTTCGTCCTTTATTTTAAAGTGGCCCTTTCTTTTATTCACTTAGAGATGGGGACATCGCTGGCTGGGCTCAGCATTTATTGCCCGTCCCTAATTGCCCTGGAGAGGGTGGTGGTTGAGCTGCCGCAGTCCTTGGAGTGTAGGGAGATGCCATGCTGCTAGGGTGGGAGTTCCAAGGTTTTAAGCAATTAAGACCCAATACAACCTCCCAGCCAAGAAATACCACCAATCTATGTAGCGTGTTTATAAGGCAGGAGGAACAGGAGCTAAAGTGTGAATAGCAAGCTCCCGCTAACAACAATGGGATAACGGCCAGATAACCTGCCTTTGTAATGCTGAGTAAGGAATAAATATCGGACCAAAACCTGAAGAAATCCACTATATCTCTTTGAAATCATACCTTGGCAAAAGGAAACAGACAGTACAAACTACAGGATGCATTGAATGGGAATGAAACCATTGTCATCACTACAGTTACATTTCACTTCCTTATATGGCTTATATTAGTTGCACACTGAGTTTTAAAAGGGACCTTTTGTCAAGTCTTGGAACTCTACTCACTGGAGTATCAAAGAATGAGAGGTGATCTCATTGAAACAGGATTCTTGAGGGGCTTGACAAGATAAATACTGAGAGGACGTTTCCTCTCATGGAAGAGTCTAGGAGCAGAGGGCAGAGCCTCAGAATAAAAGGGCACCAATTTAAGACTGAGATGAGGAGGAATTTCTTCTCTCAGAGGTTTGTGAGGTTCTATCCTGTTAAGCTCCTTAAGAATCTTATATGCTTTAATAAAGTCGCCTCCCATTCTTCTATACATCAGTGAGTACAGGCCCAACCAAGTTAACCTCTCTTTATAAGGTCCCTCCATACCCAGGATCAACCTTCTCTGGACTGCTTCCAATGCCAGTATGTTTTTTTTCTTAGATAAAGGGCCCAAAACTGTTCATGGTATTCCAGCTGCAGTTTAACTAGTGCTTTGTATAGTTTTGGCAAAACTTCTCTATTGTTACACTCCATGCTCTTAAAATAAAGGTCAGCATTTCATTTGCCCTCCCTATTACCTGCACAACTTGGATGCTAGCTTTTTACTATTAATGCACAAGAACTCCCAAAAGCCACAGTGCTGCAGCTTTCTATTTATAGGGGAGATGTCTGAGGTAAGTTCCTTACTCAGAGAGTGGTCGGGGCGTGGATTGCACTGCTGGAGAGAGTAGTGGAGTCGGCCTCATTAGGGACATTTAAGCAGCTATTAGATAGGCATATGGCTGATAGTATAAGGTAGGGGTGGAGGTTAGATAGAACTTAGGTTTAGGGGTAAAAGTTCGGCACATCGTGGGCCAAAGGGCCTGTACTGTGCTGTACAGTTCTATGTTCTCCTTTGAAACACCATTCAGCTCCTCTCTTCTTCCCATCAAGGTGCAAAACTTCAGACTTTTGCATATTATTGTCCATCTGTCAAGCTTTTGCCCACACTCCCAACCTGCCGATATGCCTGTTCAGGCTCCTTGTGTCATCCTACCTGCTTGCCTTCCAACCAATCATTAACAAGCTTGGCAATAGTACATTCACTACCATCATCCAAATCGTTGTAAATAATTGTAGCCCCAACTCTAATCTGAAATAATGTCAGAAAGTACTGGAGAAACCCAGCAGGGCTGGCAGGGTCATAGAGTCACACAGCACAAAAACAGACCCTTCGGTCCACCAGGCCATGCTGAACATAATCCCAAACTAAACTAGTCCCACCTGCCTACATCCCTCCAAACCTTTTCTATCCATGTACTTATCCAAACGTCTTTGAAACGTCGTAACTGTACCTGCACCCACTACTTCCTCTGGAAGATCATTCCACACACTAACCACCCTCTGTGTAAAAATAAATTTGCCTCTTGTGTCTTTTTTAAATCTCTCTCCTCTCACCTTAAAAATGTGCCCTCTAGTCTTGAAATGCCCCCTCCTAGGGAAAAGACACCCACCATTATCCCTATCTATACCCCTCATGATTTTATAAACTGCTATAAGGTCGTCTCTCAACCTCCTACATTCCAGTAAAAGAAGTCCCAGCCTTTCTTTATAACTCAAACCTTCCATATCCAGCAACATCCTGGTAAATCTCTTCTCAACAATCTCCACTTTAATAATATGTTCCTAAAACCGGGCAACCAGAACTGAATACAATACTCCAATGTTTTGAGTTCAATATGACTCTTCCTTGGAACGGTCACAATCTATCACCTTTTAAATAATATTCTGCAATTGTTTCTTCTGCACATTTATTTACGTGTGCCCTTATATCTTAGCTTGTGACTGTCTGCTCTGAGTCTAGGGGCAACAGTGACAGGAGTGTACCATTGCACTGTGGCATATTTATAAAGGCCAGTTCTCATTGGCAACATTAAATAGAGGCAGAATGTGCAAGTTTGAAGGAGACACTTAATTAAATCAGCAACCTCTGAAGCAACGTCTGACACATCATGCATTAACTAAAAGCAGGAGTGCAAACGAAACATTTCAATGCCGAGAGGTTGCTAA